AGAAGAGCGCTTGAAGTGTTTCTTGGAAGCTGGAGTTGCAGCCTGGTTCCTTTCTTGCTCCCCCCACCCCCTTTTTTCTCCCCTTTTTTTTCTTTTTTTGCTCCTCCTAACTGATCTGTTAAGCGTGTCTCTTGAGGGAACGTCTTAGGAATGGTCATTTTTAGCAGTGAAATCTGCTGCGCGAAGGAGGATTATAACAAATCTCTATGAATGATAGACTCGATTACTAAACCTTGCCTTGACCAACCTTCTGACCCTCGGGGAGCTCTCTCAGGGTGTGCGTGGGAAAGAAAAAACAATCTTCCCATTTGAAAATAAACTTGAAAAAAAAAAAAAGACCTTTTTTTTTTTTACAGCCTGCTTTCTAATTCCTTTTTTTTCTTTTCTTTTTTTTTTTTTTTAAATTCTTTTTCCTTGTGATGTTGTTTTAAAAAGGATTGTCTTACATGGTGGTTTTGTAACTGGTGGAGGAAACTGAAGGAAGGATCCCTCTCAAGCGTTGCTGTTATGACAGCTTTGGTTTCTGAAAAGTGATGTTTGCATGATACACCTATTGCTAGCCTGGTAGAGACTTTTTTCATCTTTTTATTTGCTTTTTTTAGTTAACTGGGGCTGGTGGAGAGGGCTGTCTTGGTCGGAAGACTACTTGCACACGTTTTTATATTGTATATATTTTTGGTGGGGTTCTCCCCACATTTTACTCTCTCTTGATGACTCCTGGAGGTGGTAGTGGGCCCATGAAAGACTGTGAATACAGTCAGATCAGCACACACAGTTCTTCGTCTCCCATGGAGTCTCCCCATAAGAAAAAGAAATCAGCTCCCAAAAGAAAATGGGAGGTTTTTCCTGGAAGAAACAAATTCTTCTGCAATGGGAGGATCATGATGGCTCGACAGACTGGAGTCTTCTACCTGACTCTTGTACTCATCTTGGTCACCAGTGGACTCTTCTTTGCATTTGAGTAAGTGACATTAAAGTCTTTGTATCTTCCTTACCTTTCTCTAGTTATTAATTTTCTGCCTAAAAGGAAACTAACCAGATTTATCCATATGTCATGGAGAATGCTAATGTTGGTTTATATAATTGAAAATAAGATCTCCTAGGGGCACCGGATCCAGTTTTGATTATCACACTCTGTGGAAAACTGATGTTTGTGGATTAAGATCGTAATACTTCTATGCCACAGGTTTCCAGCTCCCGCTGAGGTTGCAAGAGGAGTGTAAAACAGCAGGTTTGGGATGGTCAGGAAGTGATGTAGCTTCTTGTCTGCCAGTTACTCTGCTGAGAATCAAAACTGGCAGGTGCAAAAATACTGACCCTTTGTAACAGAAAATGCAAGGAAAGTGGTATCTTTCATCAGCTGATGGGTTAGGCATAGTTTTAAGTTAGAATGAACAACAAAACCCAACAAAAAACAAACCAAAAAGGAGAGCCTATACCTAGCATGTGAAATTTTGCATGTACCTAGCTTTCCACCACTAGGTAACAGCATTACTTTCTGTTTGTGATGATAACTTGTATGTGAGTTTGGTCTTAGTTTAAGCTATGTCTGTTTTGGAGGTTTGGATTTTTCTTTGAGCAAGCTTTTGATGTCCTAGGGCTTTTTCTTTTGCTCTGAATCTTCAGGAGTCCTTTTCATTTATATAAAGTAGACACATGGTGACAGCAGATCAAATATGCTGATTTTTGCACTTATGTTGGAGTGGTTGAATGAAATATGCATGACAAGAAAGAATTAGGCACTTGATATAAACAATATGGTTCAACTTATTTATTTTTTTTTTAAAGCACAGAGTGAGTTCCCAGGTGCTCACACTGCTAAAATACTGGGTATAGTAATAATTTAATTCTTTTTAAAGAGTTAATGCTATTTTAATGGTTCTAAACTATAGTAGCTTGGCTTGTGGCAGGGAAAAAAAAATCCTCAAATTACATATACAGCTCTTACTATTTTCTTGAATAGAAACTATTATATATAAGTGAGCTTCAGCGCAGCCTCCAGAAATTCTGTTCACTTTGCTGAGTGATACAGTTGAACAAGAAAGGTCATTCATTGCTTGGTGTCTTCCAGGAAGATGGTCATGATGTTCACAAACCCTAAATAGTACCAGTTAAATGTAGACCATCTTAACATACTGGTAGTAGTGAAGAAGGTAAAAATGCTTAGCAGGTGACCAGTGGCTAAATATGTCTGAGCCCAGCAAATGAATTGTCTTCGGTGCGCTCCAGGTTACTTTAGAGTGATGTTTTAATTGTAAATCTTCTGCAGACATTACGAAGCTGCTTGAATATGCTTTGAATAGCTGAAATAACAGTCAGTGATGATATCCCTATACTGCAAGTGTGTTTACTTTCCTGGTTTTAAAGGGGTATTAAAGGTGTAACCTGATAGTATTGCATCAGGACTGCGTGCCATGATTAAGCTTGATTTTGGAAAGCTGTTGTGTGGGGGCTGATAGATCTGCGTCTCTGTGCAGCCTCACCACCTTCAGCATAGCCTCTGAAGGGAAGTGCTGGACTACCTGCAAATACCAGACTGTAAATGTGGGATCAAAACTGTAATGTTTTATAATCATGATTGTAAAACTTATTTGTTAAACCACAATTTATAGTTTATTTATATGTCTTAACATTTAATTGCTTCAGAGATAAATATTCTCTGCAGCTGCATGATTCAGAACTGCTAAAGCAGGATGAGCTTCTAGCAGTTCATCACCTTCTGATTTCATTACTACTGTGAGTTATGTGTTCCTACCAAAGTTGAACAGTACAGCGTATGTCATGTCTTTGAGCTTATTTGCAGTGATGGACAACATCTTTAGTCAAGCTGCAGCATTTTTTTATATATAATTGGTGCTTATTCTAACTGGCAGCCTTGAAGCAGGGAAAAATCTTGGGCTTTATGTAACTATATAAATTCTGTGTGTGTGTGCTGGTCTTGAGTCATTCTTGTATCACTTGCACTCTGCTTTTAAGGAAAATCAAAGTAGAGGGTGACAATGCTAATTCATTTCTATAATAATAAGGTAGACTTTGGTTTTTAAAAAGCACTTGCACTGGAAAATCATTACTCATCCTCTGAAGGCTAATTAAAAAAACAAACCCTCAGACTGTAAGAATGGTGTTGAGCACACTTGTGATGTTTGAACTGCAGAAGGTTGTTGATGTTACAATGAAAAGAGGAGAATCTCTGACTAAAAAGTGCTATTTTGAAGCAGTTTCTAAGGAGTTGTCTAAATTTACTATTTATTGATCAGTCGATGACATCTTGAGTAGTTAGTGTCACTTCCATTATTTGGCTGATTTGGTTATGATGCTCCTCATTAACCAGCAGAATGACAGAAATATGTTTCAGTCCTTTGTGTACAGGTGGGTCAAAGTGATTTTTAAATGGGCGTGTACTCCGAGAGTCTGAACTGTAAGGTCAAACTGTCAATGAAGAGGAAAGACACCCTGTACGTTCTTGCGATTGTTTGGTCTTTTTGCTGCAGTTGAAATAAATGATTTTGTTCCCTTTGGTTTTGGAAACTGGAAAATAGGTACTCATCATGTTCCAAGTCATTCCCTGATTGCAGTCTGTGAAGTGGGGATGTAGGAAAGATAGGACTTTGACAGCTAATTCCTGGGAAAGTATTGTGCTAACATAAACACTTGTCCTTTATGCTTTTGGCTTCGTTGTTCTTCCGACATGATTCCCTGCTCCTCCTGCCCCACCTTGTTTTACTCTTGACACCCGTTCATCCAGAACTGTATCTCACATACTGTGGAATCCTTTCCAGGGGAGAAATACATTTCTCTGAATCAACAAATCCTAGCTCTCCAAAAGCAAACATATGTCACACATCTTGACCTGTATAGCTTTTGGCATTGAACCATGCCTTTGCAATCTTTCATACTTATGCTTCTGTGCTTTTTCCTGCCTACTTTTTCCAGTACCTACTGTTGGCTGGTTTTATTCCTTTCTCTCTGTTGACATTTCTCTCTCATATACTCCAAATACATCACCACATCTTCCTTTTGTCATTTCACTGTTTTTTTTTTTTTTCATTTTCAAAGAGAGAAGCCAGAATTTGCTTAAAAGAAAAACAACAAACAACTATGAGCTTTCAAGCAGGTAAAATATTTATAATTCCTGAGTTTCTGCCCTTCCAAAGGCAGAGAAAGCAAATAACAAACACTTCTATTTCTGTAACTTGCCTATTAAATGTAACACGAATTATTGCAAGAACTTCTGGCTCCCAAGAGGGATGCTATGCTTGAGGTATTCTTAAGAATGCCTATTTCAAAATGCTTAAGATGAGACACCACAAATTACTTAATTTGTCTTTAAAATTTGGGTATGTTATTTTATTTCGGAAATATTTCCTAACTCTAACCCCATGATATTTAGCTGTTTTTCTTTTTTTCTTGCAAATTTGGCTTTGTGTTGCACTTCCCTTTTTTCCTTTGCCTTGCCCCATTACACAGTCATATATATATTTTTTAATCTATTCTGTGCTCATGTAAAAGTAGCTGCATGAAAAGCTTGGAAAACAAATTCCTTTCCCCAAAGCAAAGACAACATCTGTAACTGAAGGGCACATCTTACTGCTGTTCTTAGCTAGTTTAACCACTGTATTTACATAATATATTAAGTCCTTTATTGGTGCAGTAAAGAGAAGCAAAACGAAGGCACTTCATACGCACTGCTTTTATGCAGCTAGGTCTGCATAGTCAAAAGAGAAAAGAACCCTTTATGCCCATGGTCATTTGGAGTACTATTTTTGTAGGTTACAGGAAAGCAAAATGGAGGCTGAATGACATATTTATCACAGCAGGACATGTAAAACAAACATCTTGTTGTTAAATGGCAAATCTTAGATGAATGCACAAGCTTCACAGGTTCCAGAGCGGTGGTAGATGAGTTTGGCTGCATTACTAATGTGAGTTAACGCTGCCTCTGTGTGCCAGCTCCCTTCCTTCTTGGACCTCATGGTGCAGGTAGCAGGATACTTGTCTTCACCTGAACTGCTTCAGGTCCGGCAGGCAAATTAAACTTCCCATAAAAGGTGAGTTAACTGAAGATGCCAACTGAACTAAATTGACTCAGGCACAGTCATGTTTTCTTCTATCAGCTCAGTTGCAGGGTGAGTGGTTCTGGAAGAAGGTTGGAGCAGATGGTAGGGTGCCTGAAGGGCTGAAGCAGTGCAGCTTTTTTCTCTGTAAACGTGAGTCAGAGCCCTATCACTTCTGATACCATTTGACATTTGCATTGATTCAACAAACTGGAGGGTTTGGGGTTTTGGTTTTTTTTTTTGTTTGTTTGTTTTTTTGGTTTTTTGGTTTTTTTTAGGGGGCTGGTTAACACTTTATTTTTGTGTAATTGCACTGTCTTTCAGAAGAGGCATGCTGGAAAATTATTTAAACTGAGACTGTTCATGTGTGTATGTTTGTACAAATCACTGCTTTCTATCTGCTCTTGCAGTCACTGGCAACCTGCTCCATGCCTCCCACCCTGAAAACCAGTGTGACTGGAGGACATTTATGAGTCACCCTATCTGATGCAGTGTAGATTGTTCAATATTGAACTTCTATAGCATGCGGTATGGCAAAGTGGTGTAACTTGCTGCTCATTGTGACAAACCTCTATCTGTAAACACGCCAATAAGCTGAGCATCTTCACTGTGGTATTGACAATCATCATCTTATGGCAAATGTTTTGTGCTCTTGCAAGAGGTGGATTCTTAGTGTGAGGTCCTATTCTGAATAGGTGGCATGTTTTTCATCTAATAAACCTCCTTTATCTTTCTTCTTCTGCTCTCAGGACAAGTAGGTTACTTGCGTCTTTTGATGACCATATCCTTAAACTACAAGTTCCTTAGAAGGAAGTGCTACCAATGTGACTTCAGGTGTTAAAGGCTGCTATAAACATTTCCTGCTGCAGATGTCAAAATGGATTTTAAAGCAAAAATTGTGGCATAT